GCCTCTTCTTGAAACGCTCTTCCCAACTTTTAGAACAAGCAAACTCTTTGTTTTTGATTTTACTCCCCATTTCACTAGCATTTTCTTTGCAAAACACTGCCACTTATGAGAACGTTTTCTTGTCTTTTTTGAGTAAACCACTTAATAAGTTCCTTGTCAACCTTTTCATGTGCAGATAATTTTAACTTCCTACATCTAACATTTGGTTTGTCATACGCTGATAAAATGTTTTCTCGGTTCTTCCATATTGTTGCAACAGTAGACTTTCTAAGTGCTAATTCCTTACACATGTCACTCTGCTTTACTCCACTTTTCATTTTGTTAATAATCTGGTACTTTTCATTTAGTGAAAAAGCTTTGCGTTTTTGTTTTTCCATTCTAAAACGATTTACATACATAACGCGGCAAAAAACAAGTCACTGCCAGTCTCTCGCTCTCACTAATATAAACAACTCCGCACGATTGGTGTTGCTGAGCGTGGAAGTTCGTTATAAACGGAAAGTGAATATACAACTAACCTAAAAAGTGATCGTTATATCCGGAAGTTTGTTATAAACGGGTTCGTTATAACCAGTAAAAAAATACGTTGGTCTTTATGGACGACGTTTCAATTAAAGGACAAAAGTTCGTTTTAACCGAAAGTTCACTATAACCCGGTTCATTATAAGCGGACTTTACTGTAATAAAGAATTGAGAAACCTTGAAGGTTTGGTAGAATTTAGAATTCTGATATGCAATTCTGTAAAGTATTTGCTTTGTATAATTTGTTGGTGCCACATTATCAGCGATTTCTTGCGTTTGGCAAAAATTCCTTTTAGTTAAAAATGGTACGAAGCAATTCCTTACAGATCTACGTTTGAACAATTTTTAAAAATGATGTATGCTTTTACTTTATTATTCAAAACAGTGTTTTAATTTAATTTATTTGGAAACATAAACAAACAATTCATTTCCGATTCAGAACAATCATTTTTGGAAACAATTTGTTAATATATTTGTTTATTTGCGTATTTTGCCTCGAATTTAGTCTTTGGAAACACCGATTTTGAGTTTCCGCAAGTATTTTCTTTCGAATTCAAAATGAACGCTCATTTTATGTTCAAAAAGAATTGAGAAACCTTGAAACTTCGGTAGAATTAATATATAATTCTGAAATATAATTCTTTAAAATAATTGCCCTTAAAAATTTGTTGTTGCAAATTGTGAACGATTTCTTGTATTCCGTCAAGGAAATCACTTTGTGTAAAACAATGATAATAAACAATTATTTAGATTCACAACGTAAATGAACACATTTTTTTAGGTTTAGGAGGCGTTTTAATATATTTGTGTTTAAAAAACTTTTAATTGCGTATTTTGCCTGGAATTTAGGATCTTTGGAAAGACCGAATTTGAGTTTTCGCAAGTCTTTTGTTAGGAATGGTTTTAAAAGCATTTTCTGTACGGAAGAAGTAAATAAGTTTCGGTAGCAATTTTGGCTACCTCCCTAAAGGTTATCTCCTAAGGAGCTTAACATTTTTGAAATTTTAAGTGTTTATATGACTGAAATGCAATTCTGTAAAATAGTTGCTCCGAATAATTTTTTTGGGGAAATTGGCAACGATTTCTTGTATTTGATGGAAATCGCTTTGTGTAAAAAATGATAGGAAACTCTTTACAGATTCACATTACTTTTTTAGAAAGCGTTTTAAAACATTCATGTACTTTCATTTGCATATTTTGCCTCGAATTTAGGATCTTTGAAAAGGCCAAATCTGACTTTTGGTAAATATTTTGTGACGAATTGTTAATAAAGCTTTTTTATACAAAAGAAGAAAATAATAACGAATTAACAAACTTTGAAGTTTCGACAGCGACTGCTTTCTGCTCAAAAGATATCTATAAAAAGCTTAAAATTCTGAAATTTCAAGTGTTTATATGAATTCTGAAATAAAATTTTGTACAATTTTAATATTTGCTCTGAATAATTTGCTTTAG